TTTTTAAACATATTGGTTTCTCTAACACAAGAGATGGAAACAAAAAAAAATAATGAAGTCACTCAAACCACAACAAAGTGGGTGAGTGAAAAGCTGGATAGTAGGCAAGTATCTTGGTTAAATAACTGTTACGTTTAGCTGGATCAGCACTAAATGTACATATATATATACATAAACTAGAAACAAAGTAAGAAAATTACTACCCTTGCTTCTCCACTAACTCATAATTGGAGCATAGGGTCATCCAGTACATTGCTTAAACTAATGGTAGCTTTATTAGAATGCTTGTTTTAGCCCAGGATTTGCCCTGTCCCCAATCTAGATTAACGTAAATATACCAGGGTGAGAGTAAATATGTTATTGGTGGGAGTGTTCGAGACCAACAGACACAATATCTAAGGAGTGATATACAGTCCTAACAAAGGTTAATTAGAAATTTTGTAGGACATTAAGATGAAAAGCCTCTGTCCCTGGTAAACTAGCTAGATAGTTAGTAGAGACAGAATAAAAAGAGTGAGAGAATAATTCAATCAGTGAAAACGCTGCATGTCTATATTAGATAGACATCCCAAGTGCATAGGTGATAGGTGCCCAACACCCACTCAGAACATAACACCCAACGTGCGTTTTGGTGCATTAGCTTGTGCACCTTCGTCGGGGTCTAATACAAGTGAGACAAGGCTTGGTAATCCACAGGGTATACCCTTGGTAATCCACAGGGTATATATCTAATGATACTGAAGTGTATTGGACTTGCTTGGGGGTCAGAATCTAATTCTGAGTGAGTCATCATCTACCTTACCAGAGACCCCCTGGGCAGGTTAAGAATCACTTTACCTGAAGAGACTAATTAGTGTTTTGCAGTTGCATTGCTAAGTTGTCAGGGCCGGCACCACCGTTAGGCGAACTAGGCATTCGCTAGGGCGCCGGCATTCTGGGGGCACCCACCGGGATGTTTCCTGGTGGGATCTCCCTGTCTGGGTCCGCAGCACTGGGAGAGCGGCGCTGGGCCGATCCTCAAAGCGCCCGAAGGTAGGGGCGTCAAGAGGATCCCTGTCACAGGGGGCCTGTATTAGGCAAGGCAGAGCAGGCACCTGCTTACCTTGATGGCAGGTGCCTGCTCTGCCCAAAAATGACAGTGCCTGGAGGAGAGGGGATGGAGCAGGAAGGCAGCGAGGGAGGCTGTTCTTGCAGCCTCTCACTCCTCCCTTGCGTGCCCTCTGTAATGCCGGAAGCCGGAATATGATGTCATTCCGGCCCCGGCATACTAAACGTCAGTGAGTGCCTGTGTCTTTCAGTGAGTGTATGTCTATCAGTGAGTCTGTGTGTGTGTATGTGTGTGCGTGTGTGTGTCTGTCAGTGAGTGAGTGCATGTTTGTCAGTAAGTGTTTGTGTGTGTGTGTGCCAGTGAGTTAGTGACATGAGGGGGCGGCAAAATGGATCTTTGCCTAAGGCAGCAGAAATCCTTGCACCAGGTCCTAAATTTCACTGGTGGCCCAGGACACTGTCAGTCCCCCCGGGTCACAGTCTCACTTATCCCTGGCATAAATAGCAGCGAGACACTGAAGGATAACTATGAAAGAATTCTGGAGGCAAACTCCCTCTTTCCATATTTGTAATTCAGAGCAAGGATTGCATGAAAACTGCTGGGTTACAGTTACAAAATGGCTGCCGCAACCTGCAAGTTGGAGCTGCTGCTTAAAGGGACCACTATAGTGCCAGGAAAACAAACTTGTTTTCCTGGCACTATAGTGTTAATAGGTCCCCCCCTACCCTCAGGGTCCCTCTCCCGCCGGGCTGAAGGGGGAGGAAGGGGTTAAACACTTACCTTTCTCCAGCACCGGGCTCCCTCGGCACTGGGGAACTCTCCTCCCTCTTCCGACGTCAGCGCTGAATGCGAATGCGTGGCAAGAGCCGTGCGTGCATTCAGTCAGTCCATAGGAAAGCATTACTCAATGCTTTCCTATGGACGTCAGATTCTTCTCACTATGATTTTCACAGTGAGAAGCGCGGAAGCGCCTCTAGCGGCTGTCAATGAGACAGCCACTAGAGGCTGGCTTAACCCTATTGTAAACATAGCAGTTTCTCTGAAACTGCTTTGTTTACAGATGCAGGGTTAACCCTAGATGGACCTGGCACCCAGACCACTTCATTGAGCTGAAGTGGTCTGGGTGCCTATAGTGGTACTTTAACCCCATAAGGACCAAACTTCTGGAATAAAAGGGAATCATGACATGTCATACATTTCATGTGTCCTTAAGAGGTTAAAAAAAAAAGTCAAAAATCTATTTTTGCAGGAGTCAAGAGATACACATACAAAGGTAAAGGGTGCAGGAAAGCAACATTGACAAGTTGGGGGCTGTTGGCAACATACAATACTGTCTCTGTGACAAGACATAACATTGTTTTAACTGATGTAACAGCTCAGCAATTTCATATTTGGGTATTTTCATTATAACTTTAAAGTAATCTTTACACATGTATAGTTAGCTATTAATTATTACGTTCCTATCACAGAATAATATATTGCTTTAATCTCCTAATGTTTATTTACCTATCTGAACTACACTTAATACTGTATTAATCAAAAGATGTAATTTCACACTGTTCAACTCTGTTATTTGATAGGGCTGTTTGTCATTAAAAAAGTTTAATGGGATACTTGTTACGATCTTCCAGTCATCCCAGATCAATAAACATGTTACAGTAAATTTCATTACTATTTGAATAAATATGCATTTTTTACATGTAGCCTCCACATACATTATATCAAAGTGATTTAAAGAGTTTAACTGCGTTTATTAAATATATGATTTTATCCCATAGAAAATAAAGATATCTCTTTCGCAAATAGCAGAATACAATGTAACTTTTGCATTCCTTAATGGTAAAAGTTTGCTTGGAAAATTGGTCTTCTCTTTTACATTATATAGAGAAAAGAATCAATAACAGCCAAATAGATGTTTTTTTCCCAAAAACCAGTAGCTCACGATCTGTCGAAAATCACTTTCTTACCAACTAACACATTCTTTGACCAAGCGTTGAAATGAATGTACCAAAATGTAAAGTTCAGTCTCATTATATGGCTTATATAATCCCAACAGTCCCGTATCTGAAATGACAGTCACAATTTAGAAATGTCCACCTGGTGGTACCAAAGAACCATCTTGAAATAGCAAAATATGAGCAGATCTCAAAGCCAATACAAGTCATTTTTCACAATGCAAAAATGATTTTGTGTTGCGTTCTGTTCATGGGTGAACTGGTTGCCTGGTTTAGGATAGGAAATGACTCAAATGTACTCCTAGTAACCCCACTCCAGTCACATACCTTCCAACATTTGTAAAGGACAAAGCGGTACACTTTAATTTTAGGTGTGAAACCTGTCATGGTAGAGGTATTCTGAGATGTTTTAGGAATTTTAGTATTAGCGATTTATAATTATATTTAAAAACTAGAACAATGTATCTTATTTATACAGACTGGTTTATCAACAAATGTACTACTAATGTAAAGGCACATTACTGTGAGTATTATCTCAGTGGAGCTCTGGTGTAGATGGTGAAATCGATTTGAGAACAAAATATGAACTGTCCCCCCTGAATAGGGAGACTTAGCAGGTATGCAGTCACCTCCCATTACCATTCATATTTAATATCTCCTGCTGTTGAGACGTATGGCATCTGTTCTGTAGAACTTTTACACAGAGCTCATTGATTTAATCAAATATAAAAACACACAATGGGAGATATTTATAGCAGGGTTCTGGGGCAGTGTTCTAAAACTTGAGCAATCAGCAACAACGTTACTTTGGTTTGCTCCACAATTGATCTATATAATTTAATACAGTGAAATGAAATCAGTTACAATATTTCAATAAATTCTACAAACCACAACAGCAAACTTCAACCACACAAGATTAAACTGTTAATACAATTATTTTATTATTTAGCAATCATTAGCAATCTTTTACGACACTTAATAATAATTAGTATAATTAATGTAATTAGTATTATTTTGCATTACCACATTTTATTCTTCACTCAATAGTAAATGTTAAAATCAGATTTCCAGTTAGTGGAAATGGTATTTTCTGGGTGAAAAATTCCCTTTCAGACTCGGAGCTGGTAATGGATCTGTGATTGCTGCTTATATTGGGAAGTCAGGCTTATAGTGTAAATGGGTAAAGATTGATTAGTTGGCAGTAGTATCCTTTTGGCAGTGAACTGTGATGTTCCTGGAAAGTGCAATTTCAACAAAATACTTTCTAAGGATGCCAATCACTACAGGAGTTTAACCACACCGAACTGGCTCTATTACCTGAACTAAGATAAACTGATAAGATTTTAGAAATAGAATTCTGGCATTTAATTTTGCATTAAGGTGTTGTTATTTTGATTCATCTTTATCCATCTATCTGTTTTACAACTATTTCAGAACAAACTGTTCATCTTGGGCAATGCCTTAGGATCTAGCAGTGCTGGGAGGCTCTGAGCTTTGTAAGAGGATTAGGAGAATTATACTTATGGCTGATGGTATCTTATGAGCCTTATCCTATTTCGTTTTTTTGGTTTTTTTTTCTTGGAGCCGGAGTCTTCAGGTAGAGGGAGCTGGACCTGGACGTAGAAGAATTCATTGCTCTCTGACAAAGACAACCTGACACTGTGTGTGACTCATTAGTTGGCTTACCGTACTCAGCAAACATGTAGGCATTTACTACTGTTAAATGTGAGACAAAATCCAGAAAAAGTTGCAGGAAAATTTGGTAAGAGACCAGAATAATTAGGGTTATTTATGCAAGAGCAGAGGAGCCCAAAATAATTGGGGGATGGCAAACTTTTTTGTTCATTAACCCCTTAAGGACCAAACTTCTGGAATAAAAGGGAATCGTGACATGTCACACATGTCATGTGTCCTTAAGGGGTTAAACATATAATTCTTCATTAAACAAATAATTTGAAGGTCAAGGCCCAAATAGGCAAACTGGGGGGGGTATCAACATTCCTACCCTTTACTTTAAGGCAAGGGGGATGCGCATGCGTTTAAAGCTTTCCAACAGGAAGGCATTGGATCAATTATTTCTTATGTGGAATTTGAAAATGTTAGACGTCTCATGCAAAGTGTGAGGACGTCTGGCATTGTTTCATGGAGAAAACTGGTAGGCACCAGGAAGTGGTAATAGCTGTCTGGTAGGCAGCTAACTAGAGGTGGAGTTAACCTTGTAAAGTAATAACATAGAAACATAAAATGTGACGGCAGATAAGAACCATTTGGCCCATCTAGTCTGCCCAATTTTTAAAAATACTTTCATTAGTCCCTGGCCTTATCATATAGTTAGGATAGCCTTATGCCTATCCCATGCATGCTTAAACTCCTTTACTGTGTTAACCTCTACCACCTCAGCTGGAGGGCTATTCCAGGCATCCACTACCCTCTCAGTAAAGTTATGCTTCTGGATATTATTATTAAACCTCTGCCCCTCGAATTTAAGACCTCTTGTTGTGGTAGTTTTTCTTCTTTTAAATATATGTAGTCCACAACATCCGGAGTGCCGAAGGTTGCCTGTCCCTGCACTAGAGGCATCTGTCTTCAGAACTTATAATGTGCCTTAATATGCTTAAAAGGATACTATAGGCACCCAAACCACTTCATCTCAGTGAAGTGGTCTGGGTGCAGCCTTAAATTGAAGGGTAGGAATGTTGATTCCCCCCCCCCCCAGTTTGCCAATTTGGGCCTTAACTTTCAAATTCTTTGTTTAATGAAGAATTATTTGTTTAATGAACAATGCAGAAAATCATTGCAGTTTCTCACTGTTTTAGATTGCAAGGCACTGCACCCAGACCACTTCACTAAGATAAAGTGGTTTGGGTGCCTATAGTATCCGTTTAAGCATATTAAGGCACATTATAAGTTCTGAAGACAGATGTCTCTAGTGCAGGAACAGGCAACCTTCGACACTCCATATGTTGTGGACTACATCCCCCATAATGCTCTTACATCCATAATGCTGACAAAGTATCATGGGGATGTAGTCCAAAAAAATCTGGAGTGCCGAAGGTTGCCTATGCATGCTCAAGTGGTCAAGCACCTCTAGGAAATTTACCAGGGCCTCCGCCTCTGCCAAATCAGCGACTGAAAATACATTATTAAACATTGTACACTGTCACTTGGGAAGTTGTATGTAGCATTTTATGAGTTTTCCATTAATCACCCAATTTGTTAAGCCCATTATTAACTCCTTATTCTATTTTCATGCAATTTTATGTTATATTTAATTTAATTGTTTTTGCATTTATTCCTCTTTCATACCAGTTCACTCAATTTCATCCTATTATCTAAAAATGCAATATATGATATATATATATATATATATATATATATATATATATATATATACCCTGTTAAATATCTGTCTATTGGAGTAGAAAACCATAGAAACCCACACTACCCAAAAGAAAAATAATAAGGGAAAATTACCATAGATATGGTGCCAAGTTCTCCTGGCATTCTGATCCACCTCCAACTGAAGGATGGGCTTTGGGGAGACTTCCTGGAGAATGGGCTGAGGGGAGACATTCTGGAGGATGGGCTGAGGGAAGACATCCTGGAGGATGGGCTGAGGGGAGGTTATGGGTAGCATGGAGTGGGTGGATGTCATCTGTATATTGAGACAGAGGCCAAATATGTACAGAATTAACATTGGCCAACCCTGAACTCTCTTGGCTTTAATGCAGTCAGAGGTGGAGTTACACCTCCGGTAAAAATGTGCTTTAGCTCTGTTTGTGCAGCATTTCAAAGTCTATCACTGCAAACATAGACTCCAAGCAAAGTGAAATCTCAATAAAAACAGTGGAGCGCTATTTGCCTTTTTTTTTTAAATTATCTTTTTAGTATTGAGGCATGAGAAGTTACAGTATGAGCATAGATACATAAGGTACATGAGGAACATACAATTGTTACAGTGTGCTACAGCTCATGCTTTTGAGACATAAGCGGCCCAGCCTCTTTTTATATTTCGAATTAACTATAAGACTAACATAGCGTATGTGGTTTATTTGTTTGGGCGTGGTATTAGGGAGTCGTGAGATATAATCCACATTACGCCATAGCCTGCTGTGGGGGGGTCAGAATGTCTAACTGTGGTGTTTCAATACAGCTGCTTGATGTGCTTATAATGTTGAGGGCCCTGTGCCCACCCTGGCGACCCAAAGTGCGAACAAAGTAACGGAAAGAAAAGAACAAAACATAATGTGAGCATATTTAAACTGTGCAACGGCCCTCTGTACCATCAGAGGCATGTTCAGCCATGAGTCCAGTCATGTAACCGGGACAAAGGGCACATTGGGACAAAGGGCACTGAGGTGGCCGGATTCCAGGTGGTTGTCCGCTGGGGTGACTCAGTGAAAGAATTTGTGAGTCCTAATTTGATCATCAGTACAGGAGCTTATGCCACAGCAGAGATCTTGTGGATTTTTATGTCGTGGGTCACTGTGAAGGATCTTGGCTGTCCACAGCGATAGGGTATCTCTGCGGTGCATAGGTGGTTGGTAAGGTGGCTCAGGGAGTTGGCTCAAGTTAATTGTTGGAAGCAGTGTAAGTGTGAGCTATCAAATGTAAAAGGTGTTTTACCTCGAAGTGCTGTCATTATTTGGTTTTGTGAAAGGTGGTGCAGCAAAGGATAACATCTCTGGCGCCTGCGGTAGGGGCGTTAGGTGGGGTCAGGAGTCGGTATATCCCATCCAGTTTGATTTTCCGGACCGTGGCAGGAGGCACAATAGTAGCCAGGAGTCTTCTTATGTGGTGTGGCAGGTCGTCCACTGCTATGTTGGCTGGTATACCTCAAATTTTAACCTGGTTGCGGTCTTCTTGGGTGGACATCTGCAGCGAGAGTGCTTGTTGGGCTGTATGTAATTGCACATATTGTCCTTCATAGTGGGCATACTGTTGTGGATGTCGATAATGTCCTCCTCTGTTGCCCTGATGCGGTCTTTAATGTGTTGCACATTGACCTTAAAGGACCACTCTAGGCACCCAGACCACTTCAGCTTAATGAAGTGGTCTGGGTGCCAGGTCCAGCTAGGGTTAACCCATTTTTTCATAAACATAGCAGTTTCAGAGAAACTGCTATGTTTATGAATGGGTTAAGCCTTCCCCTATTTCCTCTAGCGGCTGTCTCATTGATAGCCGCTAGAGGCGCTTGCGTGCTTCTCACTGTGATTTTCACAGTGAGAGCACGCCAGCGTCCATAGGAAAGCATTGAGAATGCTTTCCTATGTGACCGGCTGAATGCGCGTGCATTCAGCCGACGGGGAGGAGAAGAGGAGGATCGAAGTAGGAGAGCTCTCCGCCCAGCGCTGGAAAAAGGTAAGTTTTAACCCCTTTCCCCCTTCCAGAGCCGGGCGGGAGGGAGACCCTGAGGGTGGGGGCACCCTCAGGGCACTATAGTGCCAGGAAAATGAGTATGTTTTCCTGGCACTATTGTGGTCCTTTAAGGAGTCTTAGGTCTGCAGACAGCATTTTTTGGATATCTTGCACCCAGTATTGTAAGTGCCTTTTGGTTGCAAGGGAATTGTCATCTGGGACCACCAGTGATGGCAACTGGACATTCTGCAGGCCTGTCACAGGCTGTGTTGGGAGAGTGGGCCCCAGAGCGGGATGGTGTTGGTGCAACAGGGGCCTCCGCGGCGGCCATCTTTGGTTGCTCCTGCCATTGTAATAGGGCACCAATGTCAGGATGCTCAGCCGAGGTGCCTGGTTGTGGCTTTTGCGTGCACCACCCCATGTTTACTAGAGTCTCGATGGAGGGTGAGGTAGGTAGCTTTGTTGAGTTAGGTCTACCCTGCACGGGAGCACGACTGGGGAAGAACTCCAGATTGCAGAAGGCTAGTGCAGTGATGGCGAACCTTTTTGAGCCCGAGTGCCCAAACCGTAATACATGCCAATTTTTTTCCCTCAAAGTGCCAAAACGGCATTTAAACCTGAATACTGAGGTTTAAATTTAGAAAAAACAACTCATACAGTTGTCCGAACTAATTAACATCTCTGTGTGTGTATTAAGCAGTTTGTGTGTGTGCTCGGCAGTCTGTCTGTATGTGTATTTAGCAGTCTGTCTGTGTACTTAGCAGTCTGTCTGTATTTATCAGACTGCTGAGTACACAGTCTGCTGAATACTGCACACACACAGACAGACTGCTGAGTGTACACACACAGACAGACTGCTGAGTGTACACACACAGACAGACTGCTGAGTGTACACACACAGACAGACTGCTGAGTGTACACACACTGCATTGAGGGGTACAGTGTATGTGTTTGTGTGTGGAGTGATGTGTGTGTGTGGGGTGGTGTGTTTGTGTGTGGGGGGGTGGTGTGTGTGTGGGGTGATATGTGTGTGTGTGTGTCTTTTTGTGGGGTGATATGTGTAGGGCAGGGGTGCTGTGTGTATGTCGTCCCCCTTCTGTTTTCCATCCCTCCCTTATTTTTTTTCTCCCATCCCACACTCAATTTTCTCCCCCCATCTCTCCCTCAGTCTCCTTCCCCTCCCCCATCTCTCCCTCAGTCTCCTTCTCCCTCCCCCCATCTCTCCCTCAGTCTCCTTCTCCCTCCCCCATCTCTCCCGCAGTCTCCTTCTCCCTCCCCCATCTCTCCCGCAGTCTCCTTCTCCCTCCCCCCTCATCTCTCCCTCAGTCTCCTTCTCCCCCCCTGTCCCTCAGCTCCCCCCCTCTCCTCAGTCTCCTTCTCCCTCAGTCTCCTTTCCCCCCTCCCCCATCTCTCCCTCAGTCTCCTTCTCCCCCCCATCTCTCCCTCAGGTCCTCCCCCCCCGAGCTCCTACCTTGTAGCGTGGCCGAGCGCACCGCGGAGCTCAGTTTCCTGTGAGCACTTAATTTCCGTCCGCCCGGGTACAGGAAACATAAGTTCCTGTACCGCAGCGCGCTCGGCCACGCTACACAGAGTGCCTGGCAGGAGGGAGCGCTCTGCGCTATGCGCTCACCTCCTGCCGGTCACTCCGGCTTTGCGCCCGCCGGTGCGCCCTAAGGCGGCTACTTGTGCCGCCTAATGGATGCGCCGGCGGAGCGCACGGCGACCTATGGCCGCGTGCCCACAGAGGGGGTACGGTGTGCCACCTGTGGCACGCGTGCCATAGGTTCGCCACCACTGGGCTAGTGGAAGGTAGGCCCCAGCCTTGCGTTTTGGTCTCCCGAGCTTCAAGCTCTGAAAAAAGACATCTACCGATGCGGGAGAGAGTCCCGGTTCTGGTTCTGTGGATTTTAGGGCTGGGTGGTTTGATGGATTGGTGATGGTTGCAGATTATCAGCAGCTGTCTCGGGAGTGAATGGATATGGTTGCCATTCAGCTCCGGCTCCAAGCTCCGCCCCCGCTATATACCAAACTTGCGCATAGTACAGTGAATAGATATAGACACATAACTGTCTTAAATTGTAATCTATGATGGACAGGAAAATGTACCATTAAAAAAGAAATAGTGGACAATAGTGTAAAACCTTAGGACATATATAAAAAGTAAATTTACGATATTGAACACATGGTCCAGAGCTAATAGCTAATAGCTCTTAACCTTTAGGTACTTTTTGGGTGGCCTTTCCCCACTTTTGTCTCTTTTGATGGATAACTTTATTTCGCTGTAGATCTCAGGATAAAGATAATATGCAGGAATAGTGTGATATTGCTTTAAGAAATAAAAGCTTATGTAAAGTGGCAGTTATACTCACAAATGTGGAGCCTAAATCCTGGCTCAATATGGGAGCATTGTGCACCTTCTTTATAAGTGCAGCAGGAGACTCAAGTAGTAGGTATTAAAAATATTAACTTTATTGTAATAGTATAAAACAACAAAAAAGTGCAATATAAAAATACCAATACTTTAGTGAAGTCTTTGTGTAATCCCAAGACACGTTTTGACGTACTTTGGCTTCCTCAATCGGTATAATAGACTTCCTGGTCCCTGCTCCCATATTTATATGTCTTCTTATGACCTTTATCACTTACAGCTGTGAATCGTTTCATTTTTCCCTCCTGTGACAAGGTGCTGCGTTCCAAGCCTTATTCTAGTGTTAGGTCGCATCACGTCATATTCGGTATTCAACAATCCTACCATAGAGTTCGTAATTCCAAGCATTCCAAGTAGGTGGTGTGGTCCTCAACTGCAAAAAGCTCCCATATTGAGACATGATTTGGTATATTGATTCTGGAATCAGGCATAGTCTGGCAGGTACAATCTGAAAAGTCTACCTTCACACCTGGTAACAGGAGAGCAACTGGAAAAATAGTAAGAGAAAAAAATAGCAACCTCATCAAAAACATCCAATGATTGCGTAATAATGAATTTAGCAGATAGCAGCAGCATTTTATTTGTACAGTATAGATTTTTACAATTGCAAAAAAGATGGATGTGGTTTTTATCCTCATCAATATAATACTTCCTCATCTTAAGTGTAGCCATTTCTGTGTTTGTAATCCAATGTTCCGTGAAGGCTTTTGCGAAATGACCTTTCCATCAAGCATTGAAGTAGGAAACATTCCCAGTGTTCTTATTCTGGCTTTGGTGACCTTTTTTTTTCCTCTTTAGAAATTTAAATCAGATATTTTCTAAAGATATGCTGCAAGAAATTCTTAATTAATTAGGCCAACTCATTTTTGTGAGCAAGTAGCCTGTGGTGCATGTCAGGGTAAGATAACTGTTTACTAAGCAAATTGCTGCTTCATTGATTTGATGAGTTTGTTTGTTAATCCTTTCTGAGCAGTCTGGCACTGTGAAATTATGTTTTATGGAATCACTTGCTAAGTTGAGTGTGTGTTCAGTGAATGACGAAGATCCATGTTAAGTAGAGAAGACCGTGTAAGAGAAACTTATTAAATTATTCTATGCCATATAAGCTTCTTAAAGGTACAGTGAAGTTAAAAAAATTATATCCAAGATAAATAAAAAAAGATAACTTTTCATTATTTTCCAGGGTATACCCACGTGCCTCCCACATTACAGGACTGTCTCAATCTGTGTCTAATTTAACATTCTTAATTCTCTGTTCTCCCAGTTTGAAGATACCAAAGTACACTCACATGGATTTGTGCTTTTGCGTAGCCACTGGCTTTAAAATGTGTGTCAGCACTGATGCTCATTCACACTATGCTATCATGTACATTTAGCCCCTTAACCCCTAGTTTGCTTTGACCCTAAGTCCTGCTAAACCCGCAGGGTGGGTTACACTGCAGTCCTGCACATCATTATTGTTCCTTTAGTGATGCTCTGCATTATAAGGGGGGAACTAATGATGGAAAAACATTTTTAACGTAACAATTGGAGGATTTTGTTTTGCTTTTAACAGTGAGTAGGTTGGATTAAGCTGAGCAAGTAACTGATTTACCAGACATCACAGGGGAAATATGTGTTTTACTATGTGTATATGTGTGTCTGTATATTTGTATACGTGCCACTGTGTGTATCTGTAACAACCTGCTGTGGTTGTGTTTGGTCCTGGAACTCAGGTGCAGTAACAGCTCTCTCTTACAAGCACCATCCACAGTGATACTGAGGAAGAAAATAGGATTATGTAAAATCGGTGATGGCACAGGGGCTTTTTATAAAGTAACAGAAGAACCAAGGCAAAGGTATTCGAAGAAGGTTCAGGAGGATATCAGAGTCAGACGGTCCTGAGGTCAGGGCAGGCAGCAATCAGCCCTGGAATGGCTCAATCACATAGCCTAGTCTCACCTGTAGGAGGGGTTACCTGGGGTCAATATGACTGACTGTGGGACTCATGGTCCTGGCTCTGCCCCCCAGCCATGCCTCCTCCAGCCTCTGACCTGCAGATCAGTTTCCTAATGCACCAGCTGCCATCTTGGAATGCTGGAACAACCGCTGCGAGTATCCCGGCTGTGAATTGAGGATCAGAGGATGCCGACCAGGGTGCAGCAGCCACAGGCACTATGACTGCTGTGGTCTGACAATGTGTGTCATCGTGTGTTTCTGAGTGTCTGTGTAGCTTTATGTGTTTCAGTGTTTGTATCTGTGTGTCTGAATGTGTGTGTATCTGCAGGTGTGTCAGTGTGTGTATTTGTGAGTCTGTATGTTTACATGTGTGTGTGTATCTGTGTACCTGCATCTATGTCACCGTGTGTGTCTGTGTATCTGCATCCGTGTCAGTGTGTGTAAATGTGTGAATGTGTATCAGTGTGTCTATATGTGCATACATCTCAGAATTCAAACACCAACACTACACATAAACACACTCCTGCATTCAAACAATCAACACTACATACAAACATACCTTTCAGGGCCGTCTTTAATAACAAATGGACCCTGGGCAAGTGTTTGCTTGGGCCCCCTGTGCCCTGCCGCTCTCGCCCCTCACTCCCTGGTATGCAATCACGGCATCCATCCCAACGCAGTGGCGGTACTAAAGTAGAATGAAGTTTATTGGGACCCCCAATTGCAAGGTTGGACTAAAGGTAGAACCCCATCTGTCGTGCAACTCCAACAATGCTTTGACAGCTGGGACTCTACCAATTTCCCATGCTTGCAGGGTTGTATTTAGCACTGAGCCATGTTAGTATGTTTGAATGTAAGCATGTGTTTGTATGGAGTATGTTTGTGTGAATGTGTTTGTATGTGGTACTGGAGTTTGAATGCAAGTGTGCATTTATGTGTAGTGTTTGTTTTTGAATGTAGGAGTGTGCTTGTATGTAGTGTTGACGTTTCAATGCAGGAGTGTGTTTTATATGTAGTGTTGAAGTTTGAATGGAGGGGTGTATTTGTATTTAAAGTTGCGGCTCAGATGCACAGGTACACACTCTGACGCACAAGCAGATACACAGATACATACACTGACTACATACAGATAAACAGGCACATACACTGACAGACACACTGACACAGGTACATATATTGACACACACACAGACACATACACTGGTAGACGTACTGACAGACATACTGACACAGGCACATATACAGACATACTGACACACAGACACATATACCGACATACTGGCACACAGACAGATATACGGACACATGCATACACATGCACTAACAGACATACTGACGCACTGACAGACATACTGACACATACACATACTGACACACACAGATATACACACACATATATACTGACACACAGACAGACATACTGACACACACAGACATACTGACACACACACACACACGCTGACACACACACACACACACACACACACACACAAACACACACACACTAACACACACACACTAACACACACACACAAACACACACACACAAACACACATACACAAACACACATACACAAACACACACTAACACACATAGACTAACACACAAACACACACACTAACACACATAAACACACACATACATACACTAACACACACATACACTAACACACAACACATACACTAACACACACAAACACACACACTAACACACATACACTAACACACACACACACACACACTAACACACACATACACTAACACACACATACACACACACTTAACACACACACACACACACAAACACACATACACTAACACACACAACACCAACACATGTAACACACAAACACTACACAAACATACACACATACACACACATACACTAACACACACACACACACACTAACACACACACAAACACAAACACACACACATACACACATACACTAACACACAAACACACACATACACTAACACACAAACACACACATACACTAACACACACACCAACACACACACACTAACACACTAACACACACACACTAACACACAAACACACACATACACTACACAAACACACACACACACTAACACACAAACACTCTAACACACAAACACACATACACACACAAACTACACACACTAACACACAAACACACACTAACACACACATACACACAAAACACACTTTTTTTTTAAATGTAATCCCCCCAGCCTCCTTACCTTTTGGAGTGCTGGGGGGATTCCCTGGGGTCCAGTGGTGCTGCTGGGCTCCTGGGCGGGTGGCCGGTCGGGCAGGAAGGCGGGCGCGCGAGGGAGCACTCAGTGCTTCCTCTTCAGCTCCCTCGCGCGCCGCGTAGGGATGCCGACGCCGGAAGATGACGTCATCTTCCGGCTCCGGCATCAGTGCGGTGCGCGAGGGAGCTGAAGAGCAAGCACTGAGTGCTCCCTCGCGCGCCCGCCTTCCTGCCCGACCGGCCACCCGCCCGCCGGGGTCAGCGGGGCCCACGGGGCAGGTGCCTCGGGCCCCCCAAGAGAAACTGGGCCCGGGGCAGCTGCCCCGTTTGCCCCGCGTTAAAGACGGCCCTGATACCTTTGTATTATAACACGAACACTATATGTAAACACTCCCCTACATTCAAAGGCCAACACTACATGCAAACATACCACCTCATTCAAAAGCAAAAACTACACACTAGTACACCAGTGCATTCAAATGCCAACACTACATATGAATACACCACTGCATTCACACACATATACATACTTCATACAAAAACATGCTTACGTTCAAAGCACAAACACTGCTCAGTGCTAAATAAAACCATGCAAAGATGTGCAATTCAGGGAACTGCCATTGGCCTAAGATTCCTGACAGCAGTTACCCCGAGTTTCCTCCTTCCTCCATGGCTGCTCTTGGAGGAAGTGGTCTAACATGCCACTTTCTCTCAGCACTCTATGGGAGACTACCATTGCAGCCTCTTTGTCTGCTCCTGGGTCCTGTACAGCCTATTCTCTCAGGCCAGCAGACTCAGGTCAGTGCTCATGCCCCAGACTGCCCTCAGACAAACCTAGTCAAGAAATATTTGGAATTGTAGTGTGGCGGATATGTAGTCCAGCTCAACTTTCTTTTTATAGTTCATAAATGTGATAGCTACTACAAAATATAACCTTTGCAATGCTTATCCTCAGATATAACAATTAAACCAAAGTTATTACTAATGACTTATTAATTGCTGAAGATAAGCATTAGACCCAGGGTCAATATGTTTGTAGAAATGTCTAATTTATAGGTTTTATATTAGGAAAATTAAGTGGGGAAAGCCATGGTCATTTTATCTGCAGATTAGGCTTTGTTTTAAAAATAATTTAGTTAGAGCCACATTTAATGTGAGTCCAGGTCATGGTAACTTCTGCCTCTCCACCCAGTTTGGATCACAATTCAAATGACACTTCAATGGATCCAGGTGGCTTCTTCTTTTTACAGTTCTGTAATAAGAGGACAGACACTTTAAAACACTCATAACATGTTTTCCTTGTCACAGAAATCTTATGTAAACAGTATTAACAATGGCATGTGTTGCACATAGAAGGCTTATAAATAAACTGCAATCTTTAAGTTTGGATTCAAATATTGTTAAATGGGTAAGGCAGTGGCTGAGTAACAGGCAACAGAGGGTTGTAGTTAATGGAATATATTCGAAGCTTGGACTTGTCACCAGTGGGGTACCTCAGGGATCTGTACTTGGACCCATTCTCTTTAATATTTTTATTAGTGATATTGCAGAAGGTCTTGATGGTAAGGTATGTCTTTTTGCTGATGATACTAAGATATGTAACAGGGTTGATGTTCCAGGAGGGATAAGCCAAATGACAAATGATTTAGGTAAACTAGAAAAATGGTCAGAATTGTGGCAACTGACATTTAATGTGGATAAGTGCAAGATAATGCATCTTGGACGTAAAAACCCAAGGGCAGAGTACAGAATATTTGATAGAGTCCTAACCTCAACATATGAGGAAAGGGATTTAGGGGTGATTATTTCTGATGACTTAAAGGTAGGCAGACAATGTAATAGAGCAGCAGGAAATGCTAGCAGAATGCTTGGTTGTATAGGGAGAGGTATTAGCAGTAGAAAGAGGGAAGTGCTCATGCCATTGTACAGAACACTGGTGAGACCTCACTTGGAGTATTGTACACAGTACTGGAGACCGTATCTTCAGAAGGATATTGATACCTTAGAGAGGGTTCAGAGAAGGGCTACTAAACTGGTTCATGGATTGCGGGATAAAACTTACCAGGAAAGGTTAAAGGATCTTAACATGTATAGCTTGGAGGAAAGACGAGACAGGGGGGATATGATAGAAACATTTAAATAGATAAAGGGAATCAACACAGTAAAGGAGGAGACTATATTTAAAAGAAGAAAAACTACCACAACAAGAGGACATAGTCTTAAATTAGAGGGACAAAGGTTTAAAAATAATATCAGGAAGTATTACTTTACTGAGAGGGTAGTGGATGCATGGAATAGCCTTCCAGCTGAAGTGGTAGAGGTTAACACAGTAAAGGAGTTTAAGCATGCGTGGGATAGGCATAAGGCTATCCTAACTATAAGATAAGGCTAGGGACTAATGAAAGTATTTAGAAAATTGGGCAGACTAGATGGGCCGAATGGTTCTTATCTGCCGTCACATTCTATGTTTCTATGTAGCCCTCCTTTGCCAATTAAATATAAGCACCTATAGACCAGGACCTGAGCTACTAGTGGCCTACCCTACTCATTTCACTAATATCCGTTTAAACACTTTAGCAGCATAACTACAGTTTGGTAGAATAGAACTGAAGTAAAACAATTAAGTGAAAATACATTGAGTATTTTTTGTTGTATTTAATGTTGTCGTACTTGCCACTGCTCTGAATAAATGTGTTAGGCAGGATACAACTGAGTAACATGCTCAAAACTGGTTGGAAGATTGTGAGATGTCACGAAAAATGTATTGCAAATACAGTAAGGTATATGTATTTTAGGAAATGCAATTTTATACGTAATTTGTATCAATACCATTCACATTTATTTATATTTTTTTAATCTTCTCTGTATATGTCATATAGCGCACTTTCACAAACTATGAGGACCCATATTTTGATACTGTCTTTCCCCGAAAATAAAGACTGGGTCTTATATTAATTTTCCCCCCGAAAAATGCACTGGGGCTTATTTTCAGGAGATGTCTTATTTGGGGGGAAAACGGTAGCAAACATATGCTAGAAAGCAGGTTTACGTTCAGGGGAATACACCTGAACATAGACCAGTTCACCTAAGGCATGGAATCCCGTAAATCTATGTTCAGGGGGGAAACATTCCCAAACATAGATTAGCTTGCTCGCTAATAGAATATTGCAAATCTATGTTCAGAGGAACTTTCCCAAACATAGATCAGCTTACTCGCCAATAGAATACCACAAATCTATGTTCTGGAAAACTTTCCCAAACATAGATCAGCTTACTCGCTAATAGAATACCACAAATCTATGTTCGGGAAAACTTCCCCGAACATAGATTAGTTTACTCGCGAATGGAATCCCGCGAATTTATGTTCAGAGAAAATTCCCCGAACATAGATTAGAGAAATAAATACTAGGGCTTATTTTTGGGGTAGGGCTTATATTACGGGCAGCCCCAGAAAATAAGCTAGGACTGATTCCTTTGTATCAACAGCAAAAACAGATGTGAGATAGGCTGAACTTGATGTACGCACGTCTCTTTTCAGGCTATGTAACTATTATATGAAATATTTCCACGGAAACTAAAATGTCAATGCTTAGCCATTATTCATATAGTGGTAGAATGTTACAAAGCATGAAAGCAAAATTTAATTTCAAACTACTAATCTTTGTAAGAACTAATATAACAAATGTTATTTTTTGTTATTATTTGTGAAATAAAAATATAATATGCACGCTTTCTTCATTTGATTTTGGGGATTTTACAGACTATAGCTGTGTACTTCCTATACCTTCTAAAATACAGTTCAGACATTTTCCGTGTCTACTGTGCCCAATCTTTTCGATCTTATAATTTACTTGCATTCTTAGTCAAGAACTATGAGTAGTTCTGTTATCAGTTCAGTACACATCATTATTGGCGCTTCATTTAGCAGTGCTCTTGCCAACTGCCTAATCAGCTGGACGTTTAGCTCTGCCAAGTAACTGACACTGCAAATAATAAGCAGCTAGCTCAAACTTTATGTCTTTGCTTGTGGATAACATTAATGTTCTCATGATTGAATCTTAAAATTAATATTTAGCATACCAGAGATTATTAGTAAATAAATGTGACGAGTCATGCTCTTTACAAAGTGAGTACAAATATATTAATGCTGCACGGGTATTTGTACATGTGAATGCACATGTTCTTTCCGTGAGCGCTTAACGAAGCACTCCAAGCACCATAACCACTAAAGACAATCTTCTACATAGGCAGAACATGTTTATTGTTTTTTGAAAACTAGACCTAAGCTGTGATTTCATTGTTACTATTGTGTCTAAATCTATAGGCTCATATTGCAAGGTTAACAACAACAAAAAATATCACAGGTTGAAGGATACAGAGAGACAAGTGTGTTGCTGCTGCCAATAGGTAACTTGTACAATTACTAGACTTGTGCATAAATCCTTTTCACCTGCGTTGAATGAATCACATTCCTGTTAATCTATGCACAAACAAATTGATCTGTCACATAAATCCAAAATATAAATAAAACATCTTGTTTTGTTACAATATCCAGGGATCATTCATGACAGGCTCAGGGCTACTTATATATCATATATATAGGTTATGTCACTTTTATTTATTAAAACAGTGCTGTTTATTTATATTCTCTTTTCGTTTACAGGAAGAAATCATTCCTGTTTTCAGCTATGTATGCTGCCTTTATATTTGGTGGTCGGCACTTAATGAAACAGCGAGAAAAGTTTGAATTAAGGAAGCCCCTTGTCCTGTGGTCTTTTAGTCTAGCAGTTTTCAGGTAGGTCCTCTTGGTTTCATATCTCACTTATTGTACATATGCGGGTCAGTATGTCCTAGTGTTGTCCCAATCACATGCTGAAAGAAAGATTAGAGAATGCCAAGTATATATACTTGTGTAATATTACACATATGTACGGCACAGTCGTATGTTCAGACCAAGACACATCACACAACTGTTTAAATACTTACATACTTGGCATGTAAAAGCTGAACTAATTGCATATGTACTGTAATAAGGTACAGCTTAACGATCTTCTGTGTTTATGACTTTAAAAACCAAACAAAAATAATGTTTTTCATACGTTAAAGGGACACTATAGGTACCCAAAAAACTTTAGCTTAATGAAGCAATTTTGGTGTATAGATAATACCGCTGCAGTCTTACTGCTCAATTCCATTTAGGAGTTAAATCACTTTGTTTATGCAGCCATAGTCACATCTCCCTGTATGTGACTTATATGGCCTTCCTGAACACTTCCTGTTAAGAGATCTAATGTTTAAACTTTCTTTATTGCAAATTCTTAGTTAGAATTTATTATCTCCTGCTCTGTTAATAACTTGCTAGACCCTGCAGGAGCCTCATGTATGTAATTGAAGTGCAATTTCACAGCAAGAGATAAAAACTTTTAAAGTAAGTTACATCTGATTGAAAATAAATCCATTTTGTTTTCATGCGACACCTGCTTTCAATATTCCCCAACCGTTCTGTCATTTACACAGGACGCCGGCGAAACTACTGAATTTCGCCCTTGCAAAATGAGAACAGTTTAGTTTGTGCATTCATGTTAGGCTGTCAGCCAGAGCCAGGGTAGTTGTGGCCAGTGCTGCATAAACAGAAACAAAAGTGATTTTATTCTAAATGGCAGTTAATTGAGCAGTGAAACTTCAGCGGCTTGATCTATACACAAAAACTGCTTCATTAAGTTAAAGCTGTTTTGGTGACTGTAGTGTTCCTTTAAGTTAATTTGGAAGCTCATCATAACATGCCTTTGGTGAATGTGCTGATTAGTCTGAAAGCAGTGTTCTTTTTTTGCATGAATGACCATTTGCAAAATGACTACTTATTCTATGAGTATTGCTGTTTAAGAATTCCAGTGGTTCATTACTATTGCTGAGCAATGCACTCTCTATTACACTATTTTTTTGTAGAGAAGTGATGCTCCGGTTACATTATTTGCATCTGTGGTTCTATTGTTGCCAATTAATGACTGTAAATCTTATTGGATTTCAAGCCTAAAGGACCAGTAAATGAACTACTTCATATGGACAATATGACTTGTATAGATAAAGTAGAAAACGGTTTATTTTAGACAGTATATAGTTTGATGTAAGTACATTTTACAGTTTGCGATAAATGACATTTCTAACTTAAAGCTACACTGTCATGGCCGCATCCATTTTTTTTTAACCTCCCTCCTGATTCCTCTACACTTAATTGCCCCCCTAGCCACCCCCAAATCCTCCTAGGACTCCCGTATTACCTATTTTTTCATCTTTATTTTGTGCCTGGACCTAGGTCCTGGGGGCCGCCATCTTTGTGTTGGCAGATAAAGGCCCTGTGGGACACTTCATTAGCCACACTATGAAATTCCTGCGCATGCCGAGTTAAACACTAGGGCAGTCGCTATTGTCTGAAATTCAGATGGGAATTTCATCTATTTACTAATTCGTCAGAAAGACGAATGAATGAATAAAAATTTCAGACAAACAAACACTGAATGTCGGTGTTCATTTTTTCATTCGTTCAGTTTATTACAAGGAGGGAGCTACCGGATCGCAGCTCCCTCCTTGTAATACAGTATGTAAAAAATAGAAGCAGCAGGGAGCAGTGTTTCCTGCCACTTCCTAAGCCCCCCATGCCCTCCCTCAATCTATTGGGGTGAATATGACAAGGGGGGGGAACCTATTGTTCCCCCCCGCCCACCTCCACCCATGAGCGGCAGTGGGGGTCCTAAAAGACAATGAGGGGTAGCACCTATTGTCCTCCTCCTCGGCCCCCACCCATGAGCGGCGGGTGGGAGCCCTAAATGACAATAGGGGGGGCCTATAGTCCCCCCCCTGGTTCCCACCCATGAGCGGTGGGTGGGGGCCCTAAAAAAACAATGGGGGACCCTATGTCCCTCATTTAATTAAATAGACCCACTCACGGGGCACGGTTGGTGGCTCGGGGGGACACTATTTTCCCCCTGCTAGTTAACAGATGCCCAAACATGGGGCCATTTATCTTTCAGCTATCTACTAAGTGGCTGCAGGCCATAGCATGGATCGGAATTTCATTCTTCTAATGAAATTTCGAACCAAACTAAAATTACCGAATGTCGTCCTAATGAATGAACAAACTAAACTGTTCTCATTCTGTTAGGGTGAAATTCGGTAGTTTCTAAATGAGAGGACGTTTGGGAATAGTGAAAGCAGTTATTGCAAGATCACGTGGGAAAGGGTGAGTATTGTGGGAAAATGTATTTAACCCACAGGAAGTAGGTCAGAGCTGGTCAAGCGTAGGAAAAATACATAAGAGAAAGTAGTTCCTACTTAGTCTTATGTTTTAAAGAAAACTAGATTAGATAGGGAAAAAAAAGAAGCACAGATCCTGAGAGAGGGAGAGTAGAGGAAGCGATTAGGGAAAGGTAAGTTCGACATGACAGTGCCGCTTTAAGTGGATAATATGCCATTGGTACATCATTGTGACACCTGTGTTTATGCCAGACAAAATATATTTTTAGTTTACCTTTTGAGTCAGCTGGGCTTGTATACATTCTTCTCAGCTGCTTAAATAGTGGAATAAACATATACAAATATTTGCGTATTGGTTAACAAACTCATTCATTCAAAACTGATTGTGATAGGGAACTGAGATGCAGGAAAAAAATAAGAGAATTTGGAACCTTTCATGGGGAGAATGGGCAGTGAAGTAACAGCAAGGGGCGATAGAGATGATAAAAGGTGAATATGGCACTTGGGGTCACAAACATTTACCATCACTGATTTACTAATAGTTATAATAGGTGTTCTATGATTGCAGAATAATGCACCCTGCCACACTGCAAAAATTGTTTAGGAATGATGACAAAGAGTTCAAGAAAGGGCCGGTACGACCGCTAGGTTGAACTAGGCAGCCTCCTGCTGCCATTTCTTCCCCTAGGGTGCACAGTCCTTTGGTGGGGAACACACTGCACAAAGCTCCCCTCCTGACGGTGACTCCTTGTAGCATTGCCAAGACATGGACCACAGTAGAGGATCTGACAGGAAGCAGTTCAGCACTCCCTGCGCACACTTTCTGTCAGACTGAGTAGAGAAAACAGCCACGCTACATGAGAGAGGTGATCTGGCACAATTGGGGTGGGGAGGAGAGAAACCACAAAGAGCCAAGGGGGAAGGGACAATGAAGATATAGTGGAGGGGAAGAGAACCACAAAGGGATAGGGTTGGGGGGAAGAAACCATAAAGGGATGCAGGGAAGAGACTACAAAGGGATGAGGGGAGACCACAAAGGGATGGAGATGGTGAGCCCACCAAGGGATGGGGGAAAACCTTAAAGAGGCGGGAGGGGGGGGAGACCACAAAGGGATGGGAGGGGCCACAAAGGGACAGTGGGAACAAAAATCCACATAGAGGAAAAACATCAGCGTAAATGGTTGGGGGAAGAAAGACATAAAAGTTGGCAATTTTTGTTTTGAGAGAGGGTCAGTATAAGTAGCTGGTCTTGCCTAAGGTGCAACATTGTCTTGCACCAGCCCTGGTTCAATGTGTTGCCTTGGCCTCAAAATTCCCCAGAGCATCTGTGGAATGTGCTGGAACAACAAATCTGACCCATGGAGGCCCCACCTTGCAACTTTCTGGACTTAAAGGATCAGCTTCTAATTTCTTGGTGTCAGATACCACAGAACATGTTCAGATGCCTCAATGCATCAGAGCTGTTTTGGCAGCACGAGGGCAACCTACACTATATTAGGCAACTAGTTTTAACGTTGTGGCTTATCAGTGTATGTAAGCATACACAGCATATTTTATTACGGTGTGCAATATAGGACTTCATTTATTTTTAAATGGACATTTCTTTAAAAATATCTATACAAAATGTATATAAAATATGATGATTTGTATTGAATACGCCATCATAAAATATATTTATTTGTATTCATGCAGGGAGCATAATCTTTATTGAACATATGACCCTCATTTAAATTTTATCACTGTTCAATTTTCTGCTTTAGATTGCACAAACGACGTCAGTAGAATCTGTTCACCCATAGGGAGTCGCAGGTTCAAATCCTGGTAGGGTTGATTCAGCCCTTCATCCTTCAAAGGTACATAAAATGAGTACCATTAAATTTGGTAATAGTAACATCCCCTGGGTGTCAGGCAAAAGTAACATGCCCAGGAGGTACTTGAAAACCAGAGCAATCTGAAAGTACCATTCCTGGTTAAATGCTTTGTTATTATTATGTAGGTTTAGCTGTAATCAGCCAAGGACAGATTTGCCTCACAAAATACTCTGTACATGTTTTGAGTAGCGTGACTCGCTGTTCTTATAATAGTGTGCCAAAATCTTCAGGAAACACACAGATGCCATCTCTGAGAGTGAAACACAGTGTATAATTCATATAATACCTGTGACGGAGCCTGCTCCGATCGCACAAACAAAATAGCTACTTCACACTCCTCCCTCAACCACCCTATGTCCATCTACTTTCCAGGCAGAAGTTCACCCATTTACAACCACTGGGAGCTGTTCATGTTGACAGTGAAAGTCAGAATTGCACCAGCAGGAGATACATGCAATCCACCTGTGGCAACCTGGTACAACTTTCTACAACTACCATGGCTATACCTAACCTAGACACCTAGAATAACGCTAATTGGAAGAAGTGGAAGGAAGAAAGGAAGTGAAGGGCTAATGAAAACCACTGAAAGTTAGGGGAAGCCCCTTCCACTAAACCGGAGCGACCTCTTTATGATGACAGGCACTTGCTCGACAACATCCTGGATCTCTACGTTGGATTGGAAACTAGCCACACCTTGCTGAAACTTAACATAACTCTGACCTGAGTGCTTTTTGGACTGTCTACTTTTGGGAGGATTGCACATATCTTGATTATATAATCTAGAAATTAAACAAAGTACAATGCAATAAGAATACAATGTACACCCTAAAATTATATGTGGGTTTACAATCAAACTTAAGTGGGAGTGTTATTATTATTATTATTATTTTAATGAACTACCTGTATTTAAAAAGTCAAACCTTTATGTAGTAATGGCCAGTCCTAATAATGAAACCCAATACAGGGTAAAACTTTCAGTGGGGAACAGAAAAAATAATTTTGCTCATTCATGTGTTCCTGTCAATTGCTCATGGGCTGTCAAAGGCAATCTTTTTCAGGTGTATATTCTAGTTATGGCAGTCTAATTACCTGTGGCTCTCAATATGAAACTTTGATTTAAAGCTTTTAAACAGAGATGGCTTAACAAAGAGTGACAAATATTTGCTCTGATACGTTCATAATTTATGCAGTAATAATATTTATGCATTTAGAATATTATATTTATAGTTAAACACATATTTGTCTTTGATTTGCATGTCCGTTTTGATTACATTTTGTTGACTGCGAACATTTAAACTTTGTTTAGTGGTGACTGATCAATTACATCCACTGTTTTAAACCCATATGTAAGTTAATACATTGTTTTTTACTACATACCCGATTTTGCACTACAATTTCATTTCCTTTTTTTGAGTTTATTTACTCCAGCCAACACATGGTGATCTGAATATACTGGTCTGTGAAGACTGAACCCTTGGAGGGGATTTATGTACAAGGTTTTATTACCTAATTGAAAGTGTGAACGGACATTTGGGATTACAATATTTGTGACACATTATGCACACAATTATATGCTATGTTTTATCGTTTCCTATTGGTTTAGCAGATACTCCCCAATGTTTGCATATGCATTGATCATCCTACTGGCCCTTTGGCTATCCTATGTCTAAAATCTTACATTACTACACATGGAAAACGAACTGTGTCTAAAAGCAATAGATTTCATTTATGCTGTTCATAATTTCATTTCTATATGGCTTTTTAACTGTCAGATAAAGAGTCGTAAACTGATTTGATCGAACAATATCAGATGTCTCGTAAGTGCAATGCTTTCACAAGACAGAGTCAGATTGAACATTTATATGGAGACAAAATTAGTCTCTTCAGTCTGTGAACACAGATCAATAAAAATAATAATCCTGGCATTTATATGTGCCATGTTATTAGGCTAGTCGACACTGGATAAAAACAGTCCCTCTATGATAAACTCCATTTGAGAATATTGTAATTCTGACAATGTCTTTAGCTATCTCTTCTATCAAATGCATAATTGTGCACCTAATTTTCTAGCAATTTAGAATGATATCTTCTATAACTTGTGTGCATACATTATCCATTGCTTTATACCTGCACAATACAGGAGGCATACAGGGTAGAAATGTTTTATAGGAAAGGGCAAGGAGGCTATCTTTTCTATCATACACTTAGTCACTGCTACCTTCACACAGTTTGTACAGTATTATCCCATACTGTGATCCTTTGGCTGGGATATATTGTTTGAATCCCAGTCTTTGGGGTAGGGAGGGGTTATAAATTGTGGCAAATTGTTTGTTAAAGTGGGACATTAGAAGGTGTATTTTGAATAGTTGATCATACTGTGGATGACCTTTTGGGGGGTACTTTGAATTGTCACTGAAGTGCATAAATCACAGTATGGCTTCACAGGGCCGCCATCAGAAATTTTGGGGCCCATGACAAAGCACAAGGTCTGGCCCCCCCCACCCCACTCCCTCCCGGGCCCGCCCACGCCCTACCTAGTCCGCTCACAATGATGCAGGATTGAATGTGGTGTGTATAGTGGACGTGAATTAGAATGTGTGGAATGGATGTAGTGTTTGTGTGTATTAGATACTGTTTGTGCAGTGAAGAGTGTGTGTTTGTGAAACGGATGCAGTGTGTATAGTGAACGAGGAGGGTATTTGAGTAGTGGATGTAGTGTGTGTACAGTGATGTAGTGTGTGTTTGTGTAGTGGATGTAGTGTTTGTATGTACTAGATGAAATGTGTTTAGTGGATGCAGTGTCTGTAGTGGATGTAGTGTGTGTATTAGACGCAGTGTCTGTGTATAGTGAATGCAGAGTGTTTCAATTTGTGGTGGATGTAGTGTGTGTACTGTGAATACAGGATGTTTGTGTAGTGGATGCTGTGTGTACAGTTAAGGACCACTCTAGGCACCCAGACCACTTCAGCTTAATGAAGTGGTCTGGGTGCCTGGTCCAGCTAGGGTTAACCCATTTTTTAATAAACATAGCAGTTTCAGAGAAACTGCTATGTTTATTAATGGGTTAAGCCTTCCCCCTATTCCCTCTAGTGGCTGTCTCATTGACAGCCACTAGAGGCGCTTGCGTGCTTCTCACTGTGATTTTCACAGTGAGAGCACGCAAGCGTCCATAGGAAAGCATTGTAAATGCTTTCCTATGTGACTGCGTTTGTGTTAGTGTATGCAGTGTGTGTGTCTTGTGTTAGGGTATGCAGTGTGTCTTGTGTTAGTGTATGCAGTGTGTGTTGTGTTAGTGTACACAGTGTGTGTGTGTTGTGTTAGTGTATGCAGTGTGTGTTGTGTTAGTGTATGCAGTGTGTGTGTGTGTGTTGTGGTGTATGCAGTGTGTTTGTGTTGTGTTAGTGTATGCAGTGTGTGTGTGTTGCAGTGTGTGTTGTGTTAGTGTATTCAGTGTGTGTGTGTTGTGTTAGTGTATGCAGTGTGTGTGTGTGATGCAGTGTGTGTTGTGTTAGTGTATGCAGTGTGTGTGTGTTGCAGTGTGTGCTGTGTTAGTGTATGCAGTGTGTGTGTGTGTTGTGTTAGTGTATGCAGTGTGTGTTGTGTTAGTGTATGCAGTGTGTTGTGTTAGTGTATGCAGTGTGTGTGTTGTGTAAGTGTATGCAGTGTGTGTTGTGTTAGTGTATGCAGTGTGTGTGTTAGTGTATGCAGTGTGTGTGTGTTGTGTTAGGGTATGCAGTGTGTGTGTGTTGTGTTTGTGTATGCAATGTGTGTTGTGTTAGTGTATGCAGTGTGTGTGTTGTGTTAGTGTATGCAGTGTGTGTGTTAGCATATGCAGTGTGTGTGTGTGTGTTGTGTTAGTGTATGCAGTGTGTGTGTGTTAGTGTATGCA